TTTTCGGCTAGACAGTCAAGCAAGCAGTCAACTGGTTAGCCAGTTGTTCAGTACTTCACTCACGCAGGTATGTTTGAGTTGAACGGTCAGACAGTCAATGTGTTAGCTATTCACTCAGTCAGTCAATCAATTAGTTTTTCAGTCAATCAGCCTGAATGGCAGGCACCCAGCAAACAAATCAGTAAGTCAGTAAATCATCCAGCTACATGTAGTGCGCGAGATGGTTAATCGGCTGGTCAGTTGGCTCGGGCACGCCTTCATAAGCGAAAAGAAAAATCACCAAGATGCAGGAGTATTGATCAATCAGAACTTAACAATCAGTTAGTCAGTGTGTGAGTCGGTCGGTCTCTTGGTCATTCAGTCAGTCAGTGACTCAATCAGGCAGGCAGTCGGTCGGTTGGTCTTTTATTCGTTCAGTTTGTCAATCAGCTTGTCAGCAAGTTGTCTTAATCTCTTGGTTTTGCCATACAGGAATCAGAAGAAAAACCAAAGCAGGACTTTGGAAAAGCCGCATTCTCTGGAACATATGAGAATGATGTAAGTATTTACCTTTTTATGGGAATGAAAATCAGCCAATTCTCTCTGTTGGCTCGAAACGTCAGCTTTGGAACTCTCTGCGATGGCCAATTTACGTCATCAACTCAGTTGATAATACTAGAGTACTTCGTAGCTGTAGTTTACTTTTAGCGGGGAATAAAGAAGTTATGATTTTCAACATTTTTTGCCTTATTTCATTCTTTTTGCCCCAAGAAACAAGGCAACTAATCTTTCCAACCCTCATTAAAGTCTGGTTCCTTATAATCTTTCAGATCATCTCACTTTTTGCCGAGTGACTATGACATAACTACAATCAAGACATTGAGAACATCGTCATTATAGAAAACCAACATCGTCTGCAATTCTTAGGCGATTGAAAATATTGAGACATTCCTTTTTTCGAGCGCCATATGTCTGAATTTTGAAATAACTTTTTCAAAGCATTTTCTCTTTTTCTGTTTGTTTTTTAATGGTTTTTTTTTGTATTTTATCGTAGGAGGTGATGTTACTTGGTGAGGATGGACAAAGGAGTTTCTGATATTTTTAGCTTTGTGATTTGATACCTGTAAGAGTATAAAAATATAGTAAAAGATTTTTAAAAGTAGATTTAAAGTGACTGTGGATTTTGTGGTGGGGTTCTTCATAGTACGTCATGTGCTATTGGGCTCTTAATTCAGATGTATGTGAAATATTCGTCTAACTATGCGCAAATCAATCGTCACAGCATTAATTACCTCCAGAACCTTGCGGCGGCGTGTTAAAGGATTCGCTCTCCATTGAGGAAAAGGACAAAGTTAAAGGAATTGGGATGAAGACCAGCAAATATGTTTTTCTATGGTC